TCACTGTTTTAATTGAAAAATCATGATTTCAGTTTTTTTTTCTCTCATTATACACAGCATGCTGCAGGATCTGTTTTATGTGGTGCACATATACCACATAGATGTATTCTCTCATATCGAGGCCCAAATGTACCACTCACAGTTTATCAGAGTGAGCTGAGCTCATGACGTAGATCTACGGTTTAGACCCTGAACGTAAAGCCGTAGATCTACGGGATGGACCCTCAAAGGGTTAAAAGGGTTGGACACTGAACTGCTGCGAAAGGGGCACAGAGGCAATTGTGGAAGCAGGCACCACCGAGGTCTGGGGCCATTTAGCGACTCTGGAATAAGAGAGCCGTGGGAGTTTCCCTTGGAGGAGATGGAAAACTGCCATGGCATAAGAGAAGCCCTCATTCTCTTTTAGACAATGGATCTCCTTTTCTTTTAAGAAAATCGGGCAGTGATTTCGAAAATCTCGTTTGATTTCCAGACTGTTACAGATCTTCCTAAGCTGGGAGAAGAGAGAGAGGCACAGCCTCCACCTTTGCCTACTGAGGCCAGGTGCCACATTTATATATTCTTAATTTGTAAGACTTAAACTGTAATGAAGTCCACAGGCTAATGTACTATACACTACTACTTATATGAGTTTAAGCCAAGTTAGAGTTAGATTTAATTTAGCTTAGTAAACTACACAACTCACATCCTATACAATAAAATGCCCTGGGCACTCCTGCCATGAGTGCCCATGGGATGGCAGGAGCTGGCTAGGCTCACTAGCTTTAGTCACACTGTAGGCAGTGAGAGAAATGGGCAACTTACCCATAGGCCTTATGCAGTGAAGTAGTATTCGTTAACAAACTCCCAGTTCGAATTACATTTCACTGCAATCAAGGAACTCTTGCTACAGGACCAGACAGTTGCGTGTGACTTACACAGGTATTCTAGATGTACCACGGTTTATCACCCTTCCACGTAACTCAATAATATTGAATGCATTCATATCTTGGGGCCCACGTGAAAAGGGGGAGGGGGGGTCATCACCTTTACCAGAGACCTACAATTGCAACTATCATGTCACACTGCCCACTGTGAGATACAGAGGTACATAGAATTAATTCAGAGAACTAGGATGGGGTGGCAAGTCCTGGGCTGAATTTCATAAATGACTAGAGAAGGATCATTAACCGAATCAGTCATAACCAACAAACCTCTATCCTACACAAATGACGAGAATAGGCCAGGTGCGCCTCTTTGCAGTTAAGGCAAGAGGAAAGGTAGCTGCTGGATGGATGGTTGTGGTCAGCAGCACCACAGTGCATTCTTCCTCTGACCTGCAATGTTTTGCAGGGTGGCTGAAGCGCCAGCATTTTCTACATTATTGCGGTGTAGGTGTAGGGATCACCTCCCGCACTGTAGGCATTGTCCCACTAGGTAAAAAGATGGTGGCAGTTCACGTCTGTCAAAAGTTAGCCTCACTACATTTCAAGGATAGTGCCTCTGCCCATAGGCAGCAAGTACGTGAGTGTCAACTTTAATGATCGGGAGATTCTGGTGCTCGAGTTGCTCCAGAATATCTTCATAAAAGCGAAAAAGTGTGGAGGATGCTGGGCAGTGGAAGATGCTGGGCAGTAGAAGATGCTGGGCAGTAGAAGATGCTGGGCAGTGGAAGATGCTGGGCAGTGGAAGATGCTGGGCGGTGGAAAATACTTGGCAATGGAAGATGATGGGTAGGTGATAGGTGTGAAGAAGATGCAGGTGAGCAAGGCCTTGCAGACTGAGAAACTAGTGGGCAAAAAATAGAGATAGGATAGGTAAGGAGGTGGGGGTTTCAGAGGGTAAAACTGCAAAAGAATTAGAGGCGGGGGTGGCCCCAGAAGACACGACACCGGAGGAGCTGGTAGGCGGGGGGACCACCAAGGTTGAAGGTCTCCTAGCTACTCTAGAAAAAGGGACACGAGGAAGATTCCCCTGAAGGCAGAGCTGAGAGACAACCATAGTGTAAGGCCCATGATCTCCTGAGGACAATGGATTTCTTGTTCATTAAGATAGACTTGACATTAGCAGGAAAAAGAAGGATGAGGGGTCATTGCAATTGAGACAAGTGGGGGGAAGACTGCAAGATGTATTGGCATGATCTGCAGCACCGCAGACTGGGCACTCCACCGCAGATCTGTGGTATTTATAGGAGTGTATAAAGCACCAGCAATTTTGACACTGTTGGAGAGTAGGGACCACTTCATGAACCTCTAGGCAATGGCCTGCAATATAAATGGAGGACAGGAGCTTATGGCTGTCAGAGGTTAAGCGGGCAATGTTACTGGGAAAGCGCCTCCGCCTGCAAGTGGGCAGGACATATGTATCCACTTTGAGAACTGGAAGGTCCTGAAGGGCTAATTGCTCTAAAACATCATCACCACAAGACAGAAAATCACTCTGTACAATGGTATGCGGTAAAACCACCGTACCACTGCAAGAATTGAGAGTAGCATGCTTGTGAACTGTGATTGGAATGTTAGCGGGAAAGATCATGAGCTTGTTCTGCATTCTGAACTGTAATGATGTGCACACTGCTTCAAAGAGCATGAAAGGATATATTTTAGCCAACATGTCATAAAAGAGCTTTACCAGTACTGTGGTCTGAAAGATAATCAATTGGAGATGTCACTTGCAGGGAAAAGAATTTAGTCCACTGCGTACTTGTAAACATGGTGTATAAGGGAAGTGGGTGTCACATAGGTCGTTTCTGGGTAGAATGAGCAGACATCGAAAAACCGTCAGCAAATGGTCTGGCATGTTTAGGCGTAGTTCCGCAGGTGGCCCAACCTAAGGTAGGTGGGCGATCTGAAAACAGTTGCAACGTATTTGGGGAAGCTGGACACATAGTTAACCCTTTCACTGCCAGTCCTGTAATATTATGGCTTGCACGCCAGTGTTGGCCCCATAACACTACACCAAAATTCTAGAGGCTTCAGATCTGGTGGGAGAAAGCTGGTAGGCCTACATGTGAGAGAATGGGTCTGTGTGTTCAGTGTGTGCAGTATGAAAAAAAAATCTGTGAGACAACAGTGCATTGTGGGAGTGCCAATTTAGTATGCCTTGTTCACCATGCCTAGCGGTAAGGAATACCTCACTCCCTTGCAAATTTGGGACTCTTCTCTTCCCAAGTGATAGTTCTAACACAGATGGAAGTGTCAGTAAAGATGAATTTCATGGTTTTGAGGAGTTTGTGACCAAAAGCAATGCCCAGGATACCAGATACTGATAGTGAAAAGGGAAGACAGTGTGGGTGGTGGGGAAGACAGCATGAATGGTGGGGAGGGCAGCATGGATGGTAGGGAAGATGGTGTGGGTGGGGAAGACACCACGGGTGGTTGGGAAGACGGTGTGTAAGTAAGTTAATTCAGATATACACGAATACAGTTACATTGATTATCACACATAGCAGCATGTGTAGAGAATCTAGGATAACCCCAAAAAGTTAGACAAAGCGACTTATTTCCAGCGTGGGTGGTGGAGAAGACAGCGTGGGTGTGGGGAAAGCAGTGTGGGTTTGTGTAAACAAGTTTTGTAAACAATATAATGATAATATTTGTGCAGTTATTGTGTTGCATACAACGAGTGGATATATATACATTATGCATTATATTGGTCTCACAGGCCACAAAAGTTACTTTAAAAAATAAATTAGAAAAGCAAAAATAGAATAAAAGTAAAAATAATATTACCGAGTGAGCAGCAGTCGCCAGTGTTGCTGTAAATGGTTCACTTTGTAAACTTCACGCCTCTATATCTCAGTAACTACTGATCACAATTTTTTTTCTTTTATAACACTCGGAAAATTATTCGTAAGATTTTGCTTAGAATTTTTTTTTTTTTTTTTAATATTTTTCAACACTGAGAGCAAGTTTTTGAGCAGGGCTCTTGACAATGAAAGGGTTACAGGCATGCAAGAGGCAGAGGCACTAGAAGAAATGGGTGGAGCCTCAGCACCTGGAGTAGGTGATGAAGCATCACCAGCAGAAGGTACAGGGGTATGGGAAAAGTCTGGAAGCCAGATGAAGCCAGGTCAGAACAGGATGCAGTAGCAAAAAGGGGCCTGGGAGTAGGAGGGTTATCACAGAATGAGGACACCATGATGATGGAACTTCTTTCTTATTATTATTTTAAAGAAAAAAAAAGAAAGGAAAGAAAAAAAAAAGAGGGAGAGTCACTAGAAGGCATGAAAGAGCCATAAGTCCCCCCCCTCATCCAAGAGGACCTTAAGACTGCAAGCAGTGCAGATGCAGTGTGGAACCCGTGCCATACCCTACTCTTCACGCCAGTAAACCAGTGCTCTGAGATAGCAACCTCACACCTACCAAGCCACCTCGGTGGACAAGAGAGAGGGCGGTCGGAAACCCTTCACACAGCATACCTCCTTCGGTTGCCACCTCCCAGAACTGACAGGCAGCCTCTGGAGATACACCTGTCACCTGCAGGACACCCCGTCCACCTCTTGAAAATCCAGGAAGGGAGCTGGGCGTCTCTAGACAATCCAGATTCCATGGAAAATTACACCACACCCGAGGAACCTGACGGAGCGGGATGAACCCCGACACACTTTCCCCCACCTAGAAACCGTTATGCCAGAGGGGAGGACCCCAGAGGTTACAAACAAGATGGGGAAAAGGGAAGGTTCGGAGGGGGGAAGGAGGGGGAAAAAAGAGGGGATGGGAAGGATGGGATATGGAAGGGAGGACTGGGGGGTAATTAGGTTAGGTCTGAGGAAGGAGACCAAAGGGTCTAATTCCTTAGACCAAGAGCCTCTTTGCCACATCAAGGAGCCCCCCTTGAAGAGGTTCTTCCTGATCAACACAGTCTTCTAAACAAACTGTAATTCATTTCTTTTCCAGTTTTATTGCCACAATACTTTTATCTTTTTTCTGTCTACCATCCCATTTTCCAGTTAGCAAATTACACTACACCAATGATAACAAATGTATGTATCCCCTTTAGGTCAAGTGAAAAGGCTAAATTATAATGTAATTTATACAAGAAAAAATATTGCTGTACACAAAAATTCTGCATTGAAAAAACGATTTACCCAAAAAATGTAGAAGAGTTAGACGAGGATGTAAAAAGTGAACAATCTAAGCACAAAGTATCCAAGGTAATTCTCCATAAGATATAACATGAATTACTAACAATATTGTCTAAAATAGTAAATTAAGTTCCTTCAAAACTCTACTGAGAATCTGAGCTGTGGAGAATATATTGACTGACAGATGAAAATAACAATAGTTTGTCTGAACAAGAATTCAAGCACGAGGTCTATTAGAGACCATGCTATAAGACTGATCCCAGAAGCACTTCAAAGAACCATGAATATACTAGTGTTATGGCTTCTTTACTGAGCAAACTATCATGAGAAATATTAAACTAGATTTTTGTAAATATTCTTTTAGGCACTCTGAACATTGATATCCTTTTTCTGTGAATCATTTCACATATGCAATATTAAATGTGTTTTTTAAGCGGAGTCTTTTAGACGCTCTGGACATGTATGGTTTTTCTTGCGAATGTGCCGTATTAAATGTGATTTATCTATAAAGCCTTTCAAACACTCTGAACACTGGAATGGTTTTTCTCCTGAATGAACTTTCAGGTGTAGTCTCAGAGATGCTCTTACTGCAAAGTCTTTTGGACACTCTGAACATTGAAATGGTTTTTCTCCTGAGTGAACTCTCAGGTGTCTTATTAGATTTGGTTTATTTGAAAAGTTTTTTCTGCACTCTGAACACTGATATGGTTTTTCTTGTGAATGTACTCTACTGTGTAGTGTTAAATGTGATTTTCGTGCAAAGCCCTTTAGACACTCTGGACACTGATATGGCTTTTTTTGTGAATGAATCTTTATGTGTTGTACAAAATGTGATCTATATGAAAAGTCTTTTAGGCACTCTGAACACTGATATGGTTTTTCTCCAGAATGAATTCTCAGATGGCGCATTAGATTTGATCGACATGAAAAACCTTTCAGACACACTGAACACTGATATGGTTTTTCCCGTGAATGAATTCTCATGTGTTCTATATGAGATGATTTACGTGTAAAGTCTTTTAAACAATGTGAACACCGATATGGTTTTTCTCCAGAATGAACTCTCATATGTTGCTTTAGATATGGTTTGCATTTAAAAGATTTTAAACACTCTGAACACTGGTAAAGTTTTTCTCCTGGTGGAAATCCTTTATGTTGTTTGTTGTGATCCATTGTAAAAGCTTTTAGACACAAAACATTTGCTTAGTTTGTCTACTGACTATACGCTAATACACTGTAAGTACGTTTTAAACGGTGACAATATATGTATATCATCTCTCACTACAATCTCTGCATTACTGTAGAAACTTATGTATAGAAAGATATTTTAAAAGCTTACAAATATACACTTAAATTATTTCCTAGATGAACTTCTTATTCAATAACTTGCACAGTATACATTAACAACAACACAGCATCAACATGACAGTATACATTTTAAAACAGTACAATATTTCTCTATCTTCAACAAGTTATACAGTCATCTGTCTAATTAGAAGATGCAAGGAGTGTCTCAAGCACAAATATTTGAAGCAGAGAAATATAAATGATTTGTTACAACATTCTATAATTAATACACCAAGTAAAGCAAGTCAAAGAAAATTCATTAAAATATCCTGCCCAAAGTCAATAAATATTTCTATATTAAACCTATGTATTAGATTTTGGAAAACTGATAAGATATAACATAGGCAATTATATTTCTCATTAAAAAGTACAGTTGGTGAATATTATGAATTAATTCTACATAATTCATTGAGAATTAATAATAAGATTTATAAAGAATCCATCAAATATTTATAAGCAAAGTATTTTTTTAAACTCTAATAGATTTTAGTGCAATATATATATATATATATAATATATATATATATATTGTACTAAGGTCTACATTTGGCATCAATGTAAGTACAGTATTTCAGTAGGAAAACTTGTGTCCACAGAAGCTGTAACTGTCAGAATGAGATAAGCTTTATGATACAAGTTTACACACAGAGGATGTATTTCTGACAATGTGGTGAACATTACAACATAGCTCACATTATTTCAGTAATAGATCAGCCACTTGCATCTACTTCATGGTATTGGAGACTTGTAATCCAAGTGTAATTCTTCTGCTGAGAAAATAAACTGAAAAAGAAAGGGATTAACATTAACTATTGTACTTGAATTTAACATTAAATATCTTAAAACAGTTTTACTTAACTTTGTTGCAAATAAATTCACATTTTCCGGAGATATAGAGGTGTCTTATATGATAAATACAGGTCTCCCTCAACATTCGCGAGGGTTAGGGGATCAAGAGCCTCGCGAATGTTGAAAAATCGCAAATGTTTGGTGCCCCAATATATTGTAGGGAAATATAATACAATACTGCTTCCTTAACTTGTTGAACCATGAACAATCATAAAATACATGAAAAATCGTAAATTGTGCTAATTACATACATGTTATGATTTAATAACATGTATGTTATTAAATACCACTGTCTCTACCACTGCCTCAACCACTGCTAGTCCCAACTACCTTCCCTCGGACCTCCACAACTGGCAGCCAGCCCTCCCACCACTGTGTGGCGAGTGTTTTGTTTGTTCATTATTTGCTATTAAACTAAAATATAAATAATGTAAACCCATTCATGACTGCATACAGGAGGGCCCCACTTATACGGCGGGTTAGGTTCCAGGCTACCGCCGTAAAGCGGAAACCGCCGTAAAGTGGAACACCCTTTTTTCCACTTACAAATGCATACAAACACTAGATAACAAGTTTACACTAACATATATTATGTTAGCAATAGAACCAGGCATCAAAAAACAATAAAAAAGTACAATACACACATAGTGCACTCATTACTTACCTTAAAATATTTATAGTCTTAATCTAGGGTGAGACAAGTAGTATTTATTGTAAGAAATCAAGTGTGGTATGTATGGTAGTCAGCCAGGCTACCATACCAGGCCACCCACCCACACATACTATTCTATGATATTTAAGCATCCCAGAGCGATAAAATGTATATACAGTTCACTCATTACTTACCTTAAAATATAGGGTGAGATGAGTAGTATTTATTGTAAAAAATCAAGTGTGGTATGTATGGTAGTCAGCCAGGCTACCATACCAGAAGAAAGAATGAGTGCATGAGAGAGGACAGGCGCAGAGTTATGTAAACAAACAGCGAAGGTAAGTTTTGTAAACAGTGTACACGTAGGTTTGTGTACAAGTTACATTGTGTACAGGTTGTCTCTACATTGATACGGTAGAAAAATATATGAAGAACACTCCCATTCTCATGTAACATCATTTTGAGAAGAAATGATGCTCTGAGTGAAGCATGGAAGTAAGTCACTCTGACTTTTTTGGGTTATCCTAGGTTCTCTACACATATGTTGTTATGTATTTATGTTATGTATCGTGTTTATTATGTAATTTTGAAAAAAATATCACGGATGGATTAATGAAAATGTGTATATTAACGTAATATACAACATTTAATGATACACCGAGCTCAAACAGCGTAAACAAACAAACTGAACAGGTTGTGGACGATCACTCGGTCAGGCGAAATAGACGGTATTAATACGTGTCCAGTTTTAGTTCATTCATGTACATTTTTAAGAGTTTGTGAAACTTTTACCTTATAATATTTTTATTATTATAATAATTAAATCACGAAACAAATACTCTTACATTGTGTACAAGTTAGTACAGAATTATAGCTATAAAGTGAAGGCATACGAAAGGAATATTTTTCTACAGTTATCCCTAGTAACAGATGACGGGCTAGAGAAAACGTAATTCTTCCGACACTTCTACAAACCGTTTGGTAAACATCTCTTATATATTTGTATAAATTTTTATACTGTGGGTGCATGTATCATGTTTGTGTGTTACATAATGTGTTTCTTATATAATTTTGAAAAAAATATCATAGATTAAGGGAAATGTCTATATTAACGTAATATGCGGCATTAATGCGCCCAAGAGATTATTATTATTATTATTATTATTATTGCATCAAGAGTAGAGAGACTCTTAGTGATTTTAATGTGTACCTACATGCCAGCACAGTGTGTAAGTTTATTTAGGTACAGGTGTACACAAGTTTAATTATCAAGTACAATACATATAAAATATGGAAATAAATGGTATAAAATACCGACACAATGGCAATATAAACACAAATGCAGTATAATGTGATCCTTTATTGACTACGTTTCGCCCACACAGTGGGCTTTTTCAAGTCACAAACAGAACTACCTGGGGTGGAAGGAACGCGAGTATTTATAGTCCGGCTGAGGTCAGGTGAAGAATGCTGCATCTGATGATGTACCGAGTTGGGTTGTAGAGTCTAAAAAACTTGGGTAGCTTGGAAAGGAGATGGACAAGTTTGTGAGCAGACCTTCTACAGTGTTCTTATGTGGGATAGCGATGAAGAAGTTTTTGGCAAGTGGTTCAGCTATGTTTAGAAGCACACTTTCTGGTTGAAGTTGTCGGATATAGAAAAATAAGTGATGATTCCAGGATTCTTCGGTATTGGGTGTTGTCTTCTGTGGCGTAAGTCTTGAGTTTCTGTAGTTTATCAAGTGGTTGTGTGAATTACGGTGTTGTACGCAGGCATTCTTGTGTCGTCAGACCTGCTGCGTATTGGTGTTCTGAAATTACGTGTTTGGAGGTCCCTTGATGTTTTCGCCCGTATAACTTGTTGCAGTCATTACAAGGGATTATGTATACCCCTGCAGAGGATGGAGGCTTGTCCTGCTTACTTGGTGATGTCCTTGATGGTCGTGGTTGTGGAGGTAGATACTTGGAATTGATGTTTTGGCAAGATGTTGGGAAACATGTTTGGCAATGGAGTTGGTGGGAAGGACTATGTATCTCTTCTCGGCAGTGTCTTCTCTGGGTGTGTTGAAGATGTTTAGTGCTCGCCGTCTGCAGTCTCTGATGAAGTGACGAGGATAGTGGAGTTTGGAAAATACCTGTTCAATTATAGTGCATTCTTCCTCAAGGAACTCGTTGCTGCAGATTCTGAGTGCACGCAGGAAGAAGCCTATAATTACACCACGTTTGGTTTTGGTGTCGTGGTGAGAGTAGAAGTGGAGAAGATCGTTTTGGTTGGTGGGTTTTCGATAGACTTTAAAACGAAGTTCGTGGTCAGCTTTGCAGAGTAGAACATCAAGCATTATACTGCATTTGTGTTTATATTGCCATTGTGTCGGTATTTTATACCATTTATTTCCATCGTGTCAAACACTGCAGTAGAAATGGATCCTTCACACAGAGAATACCTGGACCTTCTCCTAAAAGCTTACTCACTTCGCAACAGACACAATTTTCTTCGTGACTGCATCCAAGAAATGGTCTTACCAAGATCTACTCCTCCTCAAATTGCCAACATCAAACCACCTTTCTCCGCTACAGCTCGGACCTACCTTGAAGAGTGTGCAGATGACTTAAACAATGCTACAAAGGAAGCTTTTCTCCAAGCCAGAACACTAGGCACAACACTCCGGGGCAACATGAACAGACGCACCGCCGAAATCATTCGCAGCAGAGTTACCACAGCGAATGTTCAACAGAAGATCAGACTTACTAGGAAACTACAAACACTCTGCGATAATAGTAATTGGAAAAATTTAGGAAGACCTGAAATTATTCAAAATCTTTCATCTCGTCCACTGTCAACCACAGAAACTGAAGCCTCAGCTTAGGCCTCAAATTCGCAACAGGAATTACGAAACCAAAACAAGACCTCAATTTCATCGCCAAAAACTACAGACACAATGACTCCGACTTCCAAAAAGGCTATCTTCAAGGCATCATCTCAGCAGCCATCTCAAACACGCAGCTCCCCAGTCATACCCCGACGTTACATCAATGCACTCAAAGGTTTAGCAGAAGACAACGACCATCAGGGTCACCACCGCTGATAAAGGAGGTGGTGTTGTCATCATGAACACTGACGATTACAGGAACAAAATGCTCAATCTACTTAATGACCCAGATACCTACAAACTCTCACAACTAACCAAGTGGACAACCTTACTAAAACTTTTCTTCAAAGGACTCGCCGCATTCTGAGGAGCTCAGAACAAGGGAAGAAACTTCTGCACACCATGCCCAGCAACCCCAGACCTGCCAGAATGTACGGCCTGCCAAAGACTCACAAGCCTGGTATCCCACTGAGGCCCATATCCTCGGGAATAGGCAGTGCTCCCACAAGCTCTCAGGAATTCTCGCCAAACACCTCTCGAAACTCTTGGGCACTATCAGTCCAGCACATCTCAAACACTCAGGTGATCTTCTCAATCGCATTCGCAACATCAACATCAGGAACAAGAAACTTTCCAGCCTTGACGTGACTTCCCTATTCACTAAAGTACCTACTAAACAAGCCATCGATCTCTTGCGCAAGAAAATTGACGATTCACTTGATCTTCCCATTCCAGCCAGCGACTTCATCGACCTGGTTGAACTATGTGTTGGCTTACGTGTTTCTCTTTTGAAAATCACCTCTTTCAGCAGACTTTTGGACTACCATGGGTTCGCCACTCAGTGCAGTCCTAGCGAACCTATACATGGAACATCTAGAAGCCGAACGTTTCTCCACCAATTATTCCTTCGTCTGTCACCTGGCTCCGTTATGTTGACGACATTCTCCTCATAACTCCTAACGCTTCAACGTTCAAGCTCTCCAAGTCAAGCTCAACCAGGTCGAGCCTTCAATCCAGTTCACACTTGAAGAAGAGGTCGACAACACTCTTCCTTTCCTTGATGTTCTACTCGCAAAGCTGACCACGAACTTCGTTTTAAAGTCTATCGAAAACCCCACAACCAAAACGATTCTTCTCCACTTCTACTCTCACCACGACACCAAAACCAAACGTGGTGTATTTATAGGCTTCTTCCTGCGTGCACTCAGAATCTGCAGCAACGAGTTCCTTGAGGAAGAATGCACTATAATTGAACAGGTATTTTCCAAACTCCACTATCCTCGTCACTTCATCAGAGACTGCAGACGGCGAGCACTAAACATCTTCAACACACCAGAGAAGACACATGCCGAGAAGAGATACATAGTCCTTCCACCAACTCCATTGCCAAACATTGTTTCCAACATCTTTGCCAAAACATCATTCCAAGTATCTACTCCACAACCACGACCATCAAGGACATCACCAGTAGTAGGCAGGACAAGCCTCCATCCTCTGCAGGGGTATACATAATCCCTTGTAATGACTGCAACAAGTTATACGTGGGCGAAACATCAAGGGACCTCCAAACAGTATTTCAGAACACCAATACGCAAGCAGGTCTGACGACACAAGGAATGCCTGCGTACAACACCGTAATTCACACAACCACTTGATAAACTACAGAAACTCAAGACTTATCGCCACAGGAAGACAACACCCAATACCGAAGATCCTGGAATCATCACTTATTTCTATATCCGACAACTTCAACCAGAATAGTGGCTTCTATAACATAGCTGAACCACTTGCCAGAAACTTCTTCATCGCTATCCCACATAAGAACACTGTAGAAGGTCTGCTCACAAACTTGTCCAGTCTCCTTTCCAAGCTACCCAAGTTTTTAGACTCTACAACCAACTCGGTACATCATCAGATGCAGCATTCTTCACCTGACCTCAGCCGGACTATAAATACTCGCGTTCCTTCCACCCCAGGTAGTTCTGTTTGTGACTTGAAAAAGCCCACTGTGTGGGCGAAACGTAGTCAATAAAGGATCACATTATACTGCATTTGTGTTTATATTGCCACATATAAAATATACAATAACTTTAAAACACTTGAAATTTTGGAAAGTTTCCAGACTTAATAAGGAGATGTGCTCAGGGAGAATGTAAACAAACTCGGTGGGCCCCTGTGACCGTATTAGAAAGACAGGTGGGGGGAGCCGTATAGCGAGTTTTGGTCATAATTTGAAATGTCCGTATTAGCGGAACGCCGTAAAAGCGAAACGCTGTAAAGCGGGGCCCTGCTGTATTGGAATGGCTATTCGGACAGGTATTGGACGGTGACATCATATGTTTACTCTTGAACACAGCAAAGAATCAAACATTTCTGCTACTGCTGCTAATAATAATAATAATAATAATAATAATAATAATAATAATAATAATAAATACGACAGAATTGAAGAAGGAAATTGTACAAAAAATACGAGGGAGCGGTTGACACATTGTCAGTGTGGCTTTGTTTATGCTGGAGTGAGCATTAGTCTCCGTGCTCTTCCAAACATTTCACAATAATTCATTGTGTTTGGTGCTTGTAGATTGAGTGCGACTGGAGTGGTAGAGGCAGTGGTAGAGACAGTGGTTGAGGAAGCGGTTGAGGCAGCGTTGAGGCAGTGGGTGAGGCAGTGGGTGTGGCAGCGGTTGAGGCAGCGGTTGAGGCAATGGTAGAGGCAGTGGTTGAAGCAGCAGTTGAGGAAGCGGTTGAGGCAGTGGTTGAGGCAGCAGTTGAGGTAATGGTAGAGGCAGCAGTTGAGGCAGTGGTATTTAATAACATATATGTTATAAATAATAATAGTACATATTATTAATAACATGTATTATTATTATTATTATTATTATTATTATTATTATTATTATTAATAACATGTACAGTGGAACCTCAAATTTCGAACTTAATCCATTCCAGGAGCTAGTTCTAAATTTGAAAAGTCTGAAATTCGAAGCAATATTTCCCATAAGAAATAATGGAAATACAATTAATCCGTTCCAGAAACCCAAAAATATTCACAAAAAAAATACATTTTATAGAGATTAATTACAGTTTTACATGCACACAACAAATGCTATAGTCTTTAATTATGAATAGTAATATAAAATAACATTTTTACTTACCTTTACTGAAGATTGGTGATGGCATCTGGAAGACAGGGAGGAGGAGAGAGGGAGTTTGGGTTATTGTTTGGAAGGAGAATCCCCCTCCATGAGGACTTCCAGTATCAAAGCCCTCTCTGGGGTTGCTTCCCTTCTCTGTATTTTAATGCCACTAGGACCAGCTTGAGCGTCATTGGACCCCAGTCTCACAAAATAACTGTCTACAGTCCTCTGTTTCTGTCTCACAAAATAACTATCCAAAGTCGTCTGTTTCTGTCTCACAAAATAACTGTCCACAATCGTCTGTCTCACAAAATAACTCCACAGTCGTCTATTTCTGTCTCACAAAATAACTGTCCACAGTCTTCTGTTTCTGTCTCACAAAATAACTGTCCACAATCGTCTGTTTGTCTCACAAAACTCCACAGTCGTCTGTTTCTGTCTCGCAAAACTCCACAGTCGTCTGTTTCTGTCTCACAAAATAACTGTCCACAGTCATCTGTTTGTCTCACAAAATAACTGTCCACAATCGTCTGTCTCACAAAATAACTCCACAGTCGTCTGTTTGTCTCACAAAATAACTGTCCACAGTCGTCTGTTTCTGTCTCACAAAATAACTGTCCACAGTCGTCTGTTTCTGTCTCACAAAATAACTGTCCACAGTCCTCTGTACATCATGGCAAGCTCAACAAGTCTCACTCCAATCTCATACTTCTGTATTATTTCTTCACATCTATGGTGTTTCTCACTTTCTTTACAGGGGTACCACTAGCAAGTTTCTTTGGGCCCATGGCAGCTTATTTCACAGCCCCACAAGCACTAAACACAATTAAATAATCGTAAAATGTGTGAATGAGATCGCAGATTAGTGTTCACTCAAGCATAAACAAAGCTGGACTGTTCACGGCGCCTGTACGGGGACGCGGACAGAGCGGGCCAGCAGACAGGTCCCATACCCAGCGGTCTGAAAATAGGGGCACATTAGATAATAGGGACACAGTTTGTCCGAAAAAATGGTCTTATTTTCGAAACATTCGATATGTGATACGTTCAATTTTTGAGGTTCCACTGTATGTTATTAAATACCACTGCCTCAACCACTGCCTCAACCATTGTCTCAACCACTGCCTCAACCGCTGCCTCACCCACTGCCTCACCTGCTGCCTCGCCCACTGCCTCACCCACTGCCTCAATCGCTGCCTCAATCGCTGCCTCAACCACTGCCTCTACCATTGTCTCAACCGCTGCCTCTACCATTGCCTCAACCGCTGCCTCTATCATTGCCTCAGCCGCTGCCTCACCCACTGCCTCACCCACTACCTCAACCGCTTCCTCAACCACTGCCTCTACCACTCCAGTCGCACTCAATCTACAAGCACCAAACACAATGAATTATTGTGAAATGTTTGAAAGAGCACGGAGACTAACGCTCACTCCAGCATAAACAAAGCCACACTGACAATGTGTCAACCACTCCCTCGCATTTTTGTACAATTTCCTTCTTCAATTCTATCGTATTTATTATTATTATTATTATTATTATTATTATTACTGTTGTTATTATTAGCAGTAGCAGAAATGTTTGAATCTTTACTGTGTTCAAGAGTAAACATATGATGTCACCGTCCAGTACCTGTCTGAATAGCCATTCCAATATGCAGTCATGAATGGGTTTACATTATTTATATTGTAGTTTCATAGCAAATAATGAACAAACAAAACACTCACCACACAGTGGTGGGAGGGCTGGCTGCCAGTTCCGGGGGTTGGAGGGAGGGTAGTAGGGACTCGCAGGTGGCGGGAAACTTAAATATGATTTGGCAGCTGGGAATTTGGCTGGGAATTTTGCGGTTGGGAATTCGCGAATGTGTGAAGCCCGTGAAAGTTGAAAACGTGAATCTTGAGGGAGACCTGTATCTGTCATTTATAGCTATCTTCATATCAAAAGATTTGGAGCAATATTGTGAGTGATATCCATTCTCCCTAAAAGGTACAGTAGGGCCCCACTTTACGGCATTTCACTAATATGGATATTTCAAATTCTGACCAAAACTTGCTATACAGTTCCCCCACATGACTTTCTAATATGGTCACCACCCACCACCTGATTTATTTACATTCTCCATGAGCATGTTTCTCCATTATGTCCTCTTCAAGGGGGGTCTCCTTGGCGTGGTGAAGAGGCTCTTGGTTTGAGGAATTAGACCTGTCGTCTCCTTCCTTAGAACGAACCTAATTACCCCCCCAATCCCCCCTTCCCTATCCCATCCTCCCCTTTTTCCTTTCCTCCTCCTCCTCCTCCCCACCCCTCCCTTTTGCCCTTCCTCTTTTTGGCCTTTGGGATTTTTCCCACAGGCATGCTAGTTCCTAGGTAGGGGAAAGGGTATACCTTTGATATACCCTTGAAGAATTTTGAGAGTATATCTACTCTCTGAGCCCGGCCATGGGCCAGGCTTGTCTGGTGTTCGCCTGGTCAACAAGGCTGTTGCTGCTGGAGGCCCGCTGCCCCACATATACATCACAGCCTGGTTGATCTGGCTCCTGGTGAAGATATGTATGTTAAGGGGCTATAGGACCCAACATGTATTTATGTATCTGTAACAGTTGCTCTGAAATACCTAATTATATTGAATTGATGGGGACTCAGCTCTAAATGTCATAAGGGCAGATCACTCTTATGGCTGTAAGGCAGCTGAGTCAAGCCTGTTTTTCTCTATATAATAGGTTATACTATAGACACACACACACACAGTTTAAATAAGTAGTTTATAAAGTTGTATTTCTTTTTGTAACAGTAAAATAAGGTGTGGTAGAATTGTGGTAACTAGAGAATTATGCTTGGCAACAGTCTTTTGCTTTTTGGTGGGTGTGGGAGGAGCTTAGGTAGGCTCCTCCCTCTCCCTCTGTCTCTTGGTGAACTTCAAGCTGGCAGGACCTCTGGGTCCTTCTTCTATTTTTTGGGGCATTATGTGTGCTCCAGGGGTGAGTTTTTATAACTTAAGTTGTAACAAAAAAAGGCACAATACCATGACTGGAACGATACACAAATAGTAGTAGTAGTACAAGTAGTACTACTACTACTACTACCACCACCTCTCCTGCCTATATATAGCCATCCTGCTCCACTTCTGGTTAGTGTGACTTTGTAAATGGTCCAAGTCGGACCGAAACGTCATCGTAAGCTTCTCTCTTTTATGTGCGGGTTATTTGTGTAATTTAAGTTGTGGCCACCATACCCAGGATGACTAAAGTGTGTCAAAATACTGGTTAGCCCAGAGATTAGTCATGAAGAGAGAAGGGCAAAGTTGCTGAGATGCACCATGTGGGAGAGCAGCTGAGGAGTGTGTAGACTTATGTTTTGAATATGTGAGTGCTGTAATTGTATATTCTGTACATATCTATTTAGAATACAGTTATATTTTTATAGTAGTTTAAATAACCTGTGAAGAGGGCTGGTGAAAGGATATCAGACACTGAGGATGATCAGTCATGATGTAAGTATTACCCTAGACAGATTAGGCCATTAAGTAAAAAGCTACCCCACACTAGAACATATAGTGAGAACCTTACTATCAAAGTAATAAGGGACAATAACATAACATGGGGGCCTGTCTGGGAGAGTTATTTGACTATTAAAATAACTCAAAACATTCTTTGAACTATAGGAGAATATTTACCAAGGTGGTGTCAGTGGAAGTGTTGTTTTCATATATTAGTTTACAGGTTGTTTTTCTCCTAAGGTGAGAGGAAGGTTGAGTAACACATTTTTGTTGTGGTTATGGTAAGTGTTATGTGCATAGTTACATTCAATTTGTGTTATTTTATGTGCCAGTGGGAAAACTTTGTCCACTGATACTGTAAGACCGAAGCAAGAATTTAAAGATAAAAACTGTCAGAAGATGAGTCTTTAAACTTTTTAGGCCTCAGGGAGGAAGATGAGGGATCACCTACTCCAGGTGATACGAGAATGGAGAGGATGAGACTTAGACTAGCGGTGCTAGAGGCTGAAATGAAATTAATGAAAGCTAAGGAGGAAGAGCGTCAAAGGCTAGGAGGTTCAGAACCAGAGCCTGAGCAGTACTTTAACATAACTAAAACTGCAAATTTTGTCCCTAAGTTTACAGAGAGTGACCCAGATAGATTTTTTTTTTTTTTTTTTTTTGAGAAGACTGCTTTGGAGCAAGGATTTTGGCCCAAACAGAAGTGGGCTACCCTAGTTTGCACACAACTTACGGGTAAAGGATTCCAGAGAGTAGAGACTCTGGAAGGGGATGATTTTTCTGACTATGATAAAATTAATTCTAAGACTTAAGTGCTTATATCTCTTCGTGCCACTTTCAGCAACACTGGTATGGCTACTGGTTATCATGATTGCTTGGCAGATACAAGATATAGTAATTAAAATATCATAACACAATTCACAAACACAGCTGCCTTGTAGCAGAGAAAGACTGGACTGGACACGTATGAATTACGAACGTTGGGATGGTAGGGTAGTGTCGGGGAGTGGCTGGGGATGGTGGGAGGGCTCCCCAGCTGCTCCACAGCAAGGCGGTCGCTTGAGCAAAAGAGAATTTTTTGACTCACGAAATCGCAATGACACGATTGCAAACAAACCATACCACGTGTGGGGATAGAACCCGCAATCAAGGTCTCAAAACTCCAGACCATCACGTTAGTCCAGTGGCTAACGCGACGGTCTGGAGTTTTGAGACTCTCTGATCGTGGGTTCTATCCCCGCCCGTGGTATGGCTTGAGAAATCTTTTTTTCCTTCCCGCAAACTGAACCATGTTAAATTAATTATACGACGTGTTACATAAAACTGTGCCACAATTCTTCAATCATGCAATACCCAAATTGTGCCAAATAAACTTGTGCTTAATGACAGTCTACTGTATAACAGGTTTCTATGCTATTTACAGTAGGGCCCCAGTTATACGGCGGGTTAGGTTCCAGGCTGTCGCCGGAAAGCAGACATTGCCGGAAGGCAGAACGCCATTTTTTTCTATTTATAAATGCATATAAATTCCAGACAACAAGTTTACACTAAATTATATTAAGTTAGTAATAGAACTAGGCATTAAAAACACACAAAGTAAAATACATTCACAGTACATTCATTACTTATCTTAAAGTATTTGTAATCTTAATGTAGAGAGAGAGGTGAGTAGTACTTATTTGTAGGAAGTCAGGTGCAGGTAGCCCAGGTGTAGGTAGCCCTGGCTCCCTGTCTTATACTTATTTATTTTTATTTATTATCACACCGGCCGATTCCCACCAAGGCAGGGTGGCCCGAAAAAGAAAAACTTTCACCATCATTCACTCCATCACTGTCTTGCCAGAAGGGTGCTTTACACTACAGTTTTTAAACTGCAACATTAACACCCCTCCTTCAGAGTGCAGGCACTGTACTTCCCATCTCCAGGACTCAAGTCCGGCCTGCCGGTTTCCCTGAATCCCTTCATAAATGTTACTTTGCTCACACTCCACGCACGTCAAGTATTAAAACCATTTGTCTCCATTACTCTATCAAACACGCTCACGCATGCCTGCTGGAAGTCAAGCCCTCGCACACAAAACCTCCTTTACCCCCTCCTCCAAACCCTTCCTAGGCCGACCCTACCCCGCCTTTCCCTTTCCACTACAGACGATACACTCTTGAAGTCATTCGTTCGCTCCATTCTCTCTACATGTCCGAACCACCTCAACAACCCTTCCTCAGCCCTTGGCCCAACAGTTTTGGTAATCCCGCACCTCCCTAAATTTCCCCAAATACGAATTCTCTGCATTATATTCACACCACACATTCCCCTCAGACATGACATCTCCATGCCTCCAGCCTTCTCCTCGCTGCAACATTCATACCCACGTTCACACCCAATATAAGAGCGTTGGTAAAACTATACTCCCCTTACATTCCCTTTTGCCTCCAAGGACA